ATAATTTCTTATTACAAAACTGAATCACTTTTATAGTTTATTTGTGTGTTTAATAATTCAATTTCATACACATTATCAAGAATATAAATCTGTAGTAAAATGTGTTAATAATTAGTTAAACACCAATAAATAAAGTTAAAATCCAACATAGATGTAGGTCCATTTTGTAATTTTATTTTAATTAAATAAAACTTTTATAAAGCTTAAAACAAACAAAAAAATACCTTAATGCTGTATAACCAAGAGTTCTTTTAGTTAAGGGTACAAAATCCATCATACCTGTGTTAAATTGGTAAGAATCCTGTATTCTTGGAAACATTAAATTTAATTCCGAAAGTTCTTTAATGAGTCTAGTTTTGTAATTTAAGACATTAGACATATCATAGGCAAAAAGCATGTTTTGTTTCTATTGCACAAGCAACTAATTCTTCATTTAAATAAAGATTCATATTTTATAATATTTAAATAATGAAGTAATTAAATAATCAAGAAAAGTCACGTTATCTTAGTTTTGATACTAATGATGATTTCACGGTAGCGAACAGAAAACCCTAATTTATTAGCTTCTATTTAACAGAATATTTTTCTAAATCGAACACATTAAAAACAACTGTGTGGCCAAGTTTTATTTTCACGGTTGAGAGATCTATATTTTATTATTTATTTCAGAGCATTTATTGATAGAATTAAAACGTCGGTAACGTGTAATAGGAACCGTTGTGGCCATGGCAGGAATCTCTATGGCCAAATTCCTTAAATTACGGCAGACACAATGAAATTTTCAGGGATTTTCCTCTAGCAAAAAAATCCGAAGCAGAGTTGGCTGCCGTTAAACTTCTCTATGGCCATAAGCTGTTAAGATATTCCATAAAATACGTCACGGAGAGTTTGACTCTCTTTTGCAGAGATTTTAGCAATGTTTACCGCGAAGTTTTTGAAATTTAAATTTAGCGTGACGTAGTTTATAAAATTGCTTATATTCTTTTTCAATAACATATATTCAAAAATATTTCAATAATTATTTATAAAAGTTCTAAAAGATCTTTGATAAAAAATAAATAAACTTTCTAATAAACCTATCTAATTTTAAACTATGTGGCCATGGCCACCATGGCCACCCCTTAGATCCGCGCCTGATATATATATATATATATATATATATATATATATATATATATATATATATATATATATATATATATATATTGATATTTATATATATATATATATATATATATATATATATATATATATATATATATATATATATGTTTCAAAATCCGTATGTGGTACGTCCAATTTGAATCAACACTGTATAAATAAAAATATAAATTATAGCTACATTTAAAATCAATATAATATTAAAAACATTAAGCAATTAATTGATGTATGCAGTGCAGCCAAGAGGGATGGGGACGAGAGGGACAGTTTGTCCCGGGTGGCACATATCCAAAGGGCGCTAATTGAAAGAAAGGTACCTAAAAAAAAAAGGTCCTTTATCTATAATATAGGAAAACTTTGATAAATAAGGGCACCAATCAGGGTTGCTGTCCCAGGCGGCGTGACGGCTCTTGGCGACCCTGGATGTGTGTATTGTTCAATGTGAGTTTCAAAAGTATGTTAATTAGTAGGTATTTCTTTTTTTTTTAGCCGAAAGTTAATATAAAAAACTTAAATATGTTTAACATAAAATTGAAATGTTTTTTTTAGACCTGTCTAATGCTTTTATACGGAGAAGAGAGTGAAGGGACAATTTTACTTTTACATAAATCGGGATGATAACTAGGATTAGCATCAGAATTATTCAAATCGTCTGAATCAGTTGCTCTATGTTGATTAACATACAGTATCAACTAAAAACTCTAGTTACAATAGGGAATAACGCCACTATTTACTATCGACATTGGCATGTTGTATGTTACTGTCATCTAAAATACTCCTAGTATTATCATTGAATCAGGAATATTATCATTAATCTAATGCGTACCTTTTTAGTATACTAATAAAAGATTCAATTTTCTTTGTTAAATTACATAATTTGAATAATTTAACTGATGCAATTGTTATACAATAAGAAAAATATTACTAATACTTCTAATATATTTACTTTAGTAATTAGTCAATAATAATTAATCAATAAAAGTATTATTAATTAGTTAATAATAACTAAAGTCAATAGTTAACTTAATAGTGTTTGATAGCCTATTAAAGAACTTATTAAGTTTTAAAGAAAACCTTATTGTTGTTTTAAAGAACTTATTGTTATTGTCTTTTAAAAAAAACCAATTAAATAAGTTTTCTTTAAAACTTAATAACTTCTTTATTTTAAATAAACTTTATTGTTAAAAGAACAAACAATGTAATCCAATCGTCTGAATGGAGAAAATTGTTTCAAATTATAAAATTAAAACTTTAATGGAAACTACTTACGAGGTAGTACTAAGTAATTCGAAATAGTCTAATTTTTTGGTAATTGTAATTGAATCAATGAATTTCCTTGACGCCATTTTTAAAATTTCAAAGTAAATAGTCACGTAACTTACGCTAAAACATTGATTCGCTGAAATAAAATATTGAAGCGTTAAAGTGGTTAAAGTGACATAGAGTAAGATAAAACTGGTAAAGCAATATCGTAAATCGAACAAAATCAAATTGACGAAGCAGAGAAGATAATTATATATATATACAGGCGCGGATGCAGAACATTTTGAGGTTTGAGTTACCTAACTTACAGACATGGAACAAACTCCAAAAATTTATATGTTTATACTTATATCAAATAAGGATGCTTTGCAAAAAATTGGAATGATGGGAGCCTGAGAACAAAAAAGCCCTAAAATTTTAGCTACACTTGTCCCAAACGTGAGAGTAATACGTTGATAAAATAATTTTTATACTATTCTTAACTAAATCTATATTCATCAATAAATTTTAAAATTTACACAAAAATCTTTTAGCTTTCAAAAACTATGACCATAAAAAATTTTAGCCCTCCTCAATTTGAGGGGGTTACAAATTTTATAAGGTCATAATTGTTGAACGCTAAGAGATTATTGTTTTAAAATTCATCGATGAATATAAACTTGGTTGAGAATAGTAGAAAAATTATTTTAGCAACTTGTTGCTCTCATGTTTGGGGCTAGTGTAGTTACAATTTTAAGGTTTTTTTGTTCCCAGGCATCAATCATCGCAATTGTTTGCAAAGCATCCTTATTTGTTATAAAAATAAACATATAAACTTATGGAGTTTGTTCCATGTCTGGAAGTTAGGTATCTAAATTATCAAAAAATGCTGCATCTGCACCTGATATAAGTAGGGAGGAATTAAGCTTTTTTAATTAATAAAAAGTAGGTTTTTGAAATAAATGAAAATTGACCTCTTCACAGTTCCGATAATTTTGTGCGCGCGCATATTTAATAGTACGTCATGGTTCCTTAAGCGCAGAATCGCATATTACACATAATTTACACATAACTATAAGTAAATACAAATAAAAAAAAGTAAATATGTTTACATAAGATTTCTTTTATTTTTTTCATAATATAGGCATCGATTTTGCTTTATATAAGTTTATTTCAACCATTTATGTCTAAAATTTGTACTTTTTATATGTTTGTGTTATAGAATATATATGAAAGAAATAAAAGCTCTTAAAAGTGTAAAAATACACAATGATATATATATATATATATATATATATATATATATATATATATATATATATATATATATATATATATATATATATATATATATATATATAAATCTTTCAAGGTTACTCTTATCTTAACTTTTTTGTGTATGCACTTGTTTTCATGCAATTCTGCGCATAAAGAACCATGACATCGTGACGTACTATTAATAATGCGCGCGCATAAAATTATTGGAACTGTGAAGATGTCTATTTGTAGTTAGAACAAAATTATATATATATATATATATATATATATATATATATATATATATATATATATATATATATATATATATATATATATATATATATATATACATATATATATATATATATATATAGACACGCACACACACTACAGTCCATAATTATTCGAATGGTCGTACTTTTCGATATAAGATATCATAGTTTTATTTACTATTAGGAGAGAAACTGAAAGGAAAGTCTACCTGTTTTATTTAATATTTGATCGTTTTAAAACTCAGTCAAATAACTTAAACAATATTTTGAAAAAAATATTTTAGATTAAAATTTTAGGTCATTTTCTTCTAAAAAAAATAAATAGCTTCTCATTAACCCATCTTTCCGAAGCTATAATTGTTTAAGTGTACAAGTAAACTATTTTTGACATTACTTCCTCTGTTTTCACAAAGTCACTATATTCATAATGTTTTACAGTCAATAATACACACTTTTTTATCATAAATTCAACGATTTTTTTCCAAACAATTTTTGTCTTGAAATCAAAGATTTCGACAAAACTTCGACAGGTCGGTCAGCGTTTACTGTCATTGATGGTCTATTTTTTATGAAGTTTTTTTGCCCACTTTAGCATTTTTATAATTCTTTTGATTTTTATTAAAGCATTTTAACCAAAATACTTTTAAATTATCTAATAATTAAAAATAAACAACAAAAAAATAGTTAAAAAATATCATTTTTGAAAAAAAGTTTATGCCATTCGAATAATTATAAACGGTAGTGTGTATATAGAGGCGATTCTACAAATAAAATGAGGGAGGGGGGGGTGAATCCTTAAAAAGTACCGACTGGCTTTGTAAAAAAAAAAAAAAATAAGGTCCTCAAAATTAAATTTTAGCCGACTGAATGGTGTCAAATACCCGACTAGGCGACTAAATTAATGAATAAACCATCTATAACTTGAAAATCGCCTTCTTTGAGAAAAAGGGGGGTTACACCCCTTCCCCCCCTCCTGTAAAATCTCCTCTGTGTGTGTGTGTGTGTGTGTGTGTGTGTGTGTGTGTAATATTATTTTTTTCTTCGTTTAATTTTGAATTTTTTTAGGTAGTTTGAATGAAGCGCTATTAGAAAGAAATGATCGACATGGTTTTAAATTCTCACTTTGTAACAAGTCGATTTTCAACGATTTTTACAAAGCCGGTTACATTTCATTGTTTAATGGAGATAGCAAGTTTATATTTGATTGTTTATCACAATTTAATAGTTCATGGAATACGCACCCAATTTGGATAAAAGAAAACAATTTAAAATCTTTTCCGAAATGCGCTTCTTCTTACAGTAATTATATAATGAAAATATTTGCAGAGACATTTGAAGATATTCCAAAAGTTTCGTTTTCTGCTTACACAGAGGACTTAAAATCAGACATCAATAATTTGCAAGCTATAGATGAAGAGATTGTTGAAATGATTCAGTTCTATAAATCGAATAAAAGGATCGATCGCACAATACTTGTCATTTTTAGTAACCAGGGTTTCGTTGATTCTCATTTCCTTCAAACGACTCAAGGAAAACTTGAGCGTATATTGCCGTTTTTCTCAATTACTCTTCCACCTTTTTTCAAACATGACTATCCAACAATGTTTTTTGCATTAAAAAATAATGCTGATATTTTAACAACCCATTTTGATATTTATTTGACACTTCAACATTTACTTTTATATCCTTTTCTTCCAAAGAAATCAATGGGTCAAAGTTTGTTCACAAGTATTAATTCCACATTTAGAACATGCACTACTTCTGGAATTGAAGAACAATTTTGTTCGTGCTTGGAGACAGAGTTTTCGCATAAAACAAATCTGATTTTAAATAAGGCAGCATTAGCTGTTGTCAGTTATGTAAATAGCCAATTACAAAATATAAAGATGGTCAATTCACTATGTGCCACTCTCAGCCTTAGTGCAATTTTGTTTGGAACTAGAAAAACCGTTAATCATAAGGTTTTAAGCTATAATCATACAAAACAACAACGCGGTGATTTATGCGAGAAATTCAATGCAACTATATACTATGAAGTTGGTCTCAGAGTTATACCTGGAGAAGCAGAGTTTGAGGCCAATGTCAGTATTTTTCCTGATGGTTTTATTGCAGTGGATCCAGATGTAAAACGAATAAATCTAATTAGGGACTTGCCAACATGCATCATGGACGAGTTTCCCCAACTTAGAACATATTGCTATTGCTTAGTTTCATAAATATTTACAAATTAGGTAGTGAGTTTTTATGTTGCAATTTCTCTCCTCGTACATATTCTCATATTTAATGAGGAAGATTCCAAGTTCCTCGGGGAATCAGTAGAATTTTGTATCCATGATCCTTTGGTGGTTGAGATTAGTATCTTTTTATGTAACTTCTAGACGCCAAACTTTTTTATGTTTACGATTGTCGTGTAAACTCTCTACCTCCCTAAAAGTACCTACGCTTTTAACCTACTAACCCAACATTTTATGATATTTTTTTAAATTTAGTGTCACCATACTTTTATAATTGACCTATTACCCCCTTATCTCAGAAACGCCATTTGCAGACCTCAGCTTCCTCTCCGAGCGTACGTACTTTATGGACGATCCCTAATTGCGCTGTTAATTTTAAAATTAATCTTAGGAAACAAAAAACCTCTAAAAGGAATCATAACCCGCCTAAATGTGGGAGAAATCATTTTTTTTTTTATAAAATTATATTCTCTTAGACTAAATGAAAACTTATTTAAGGTTATTGAAAAGTATAATACTTAGCAATCGCGTCCATTTACCCACTTGTTTTAAGTTTGTAAGTTAAAAGGTTGTAAATTTTAAATGATTATAAGATTTGAACGCTCGATGAATTTTGGATTAAATATATATATATATATATATATATATATATATATATATATATATATATATATATATATATATATATATATATATATATATATATATATATATATATATATATAGATCTTAAAAAGAAAAAAACTTTTTATCTTTAATTGTATTTATTTAGGCAGATGATACCTACATTTAGTTTATTTTTTTTCCCTGGATTTTATTTTTGGCGAAATTTCATCTTCACGTAACATAAGTATGAACTTATGTCACCCTACCGTTTTTCTACGTCTCCCCCTACGTTTTTCTAAATTTGGTAGTAAACTGTTTATATAGTTTTTAAGTAAAACAATTTTTGTGATACAAAAAAGATACATCTTTCAACAGGTTACGTTATAGAGTATATTCTGTACAAATCGTGAAATTTGACTTGATGCAGGTTGAAAAACGATGAATATATATTTTTTTATTATTATTTATAAAAAAAAATTTATTATTTTTTATATATTATATATTTATAAAACAAAACATTGTAAAGCTTTAGTGTACAAAAATTTATCTCAAATATATATATATATATATATATATATATATATATATATATATATATATATATATATATATATATATATATATTTTAATACGACATTTCTCTGTTACACAACATACTGATCTTTTAAACTCGTGAAATTCAATGTTTTGTTAAAAAAATATCCCGTTTTAGGGGAACAGAGAACAAGAAGTCAAATCGCTTAGGTACTCGTTGTTACTCGTTGTTAACACTTCCTCCACGTATGTGTTTGTGCATATATTTTTTTTATGTTGTGGTTTTCGATGCGATTTTTAATAAATTTCTAGGTTTGAATTTAATTAGTAAATGTCTAGATTAGAATTGGTAGTATTTATGCCGGATTCACTAAAGGTTAATTTATGTTCCTATATTTAAGATATAGCTGTTTGTTATTAAATCCGGCAAAAATATTCCAACACAGAATAAAATTCTAAGGAAATATAATGAGATCTTTCAATAAGATCTTTCCTGAAATATAGGTTTGATACGTTCTTTAAGAACGTAACAAACCTATCGCTAAAAAAAAAGAAAAAGCTATATATTCAAACAATCATCAGAGATAGTCTAAAACTTTGATGTTTATACCTTCAAAAGTAGTATACAAAAAAAAACTTTACCAAGTTGTTAAAAACATAACCAGTTAACTTTTAATTCACATCGATCAGAAATTTTTAAGCTTAAAAGCTACATATTAAACTTTTCCTTTTTCAACACAAAAACGCCATTTTGACTTGCCGCAGGAATAATTATACTATTATGACTATTCCACGTTTTCGGCTTTGTTCTAAATCTAGCTACTCTATTGTACCTTATGATGTTGAAGGTTATCTGGATACTCGCAGGTTGATTACTGAGCGTGTAGCATTATCAAACGACAGGTAACCATCATTTTGATAATGCTACACGCTCAATTAAATTAAGAAAATAAACAGTAAATCCATAATTTTTGTGAAACTAGAAGCAAAAATACAGTAAATCCCAATAAGTAGCAAATAAGCAGTAAGTTAAATAAAATTAGTATATAAACGTTTATTTTAGGATTGAAGGTTAATTATGCTTGGTACACGGATCAGTAATGTGTCTAACCTTGTTTAGTCGATTTCCCGACATTTTGCTTGGATGGAGATATTGCTTTTTTGCTTAGCATGGCAGAGTAGTCCCGTAGGACTTGGAGAGGTGCATTTATATATATATATATATATATATATATATATATATATATATATATATATATATATATATATATATATATATATATATATATATATATATAATAGTCCATTACAACTCTTCTTAACGTAAAAGATCATACTTGGGATGGATCGTATCGATCTACGAGAAATTTTAAGTTTTGGCTCTTAAAAAGTAAATACTTGTGTTAATTTGATTTTGATTTTAAATCTGTCATAAACTGTTGCCTGATTCATTTACGACATTATAAACATTACCCAACATCTTTTTTTGTTATGGAAAGGTTAGGATGATTATTTCTTACCGTAAATGGGAGTTTACCAAAAATTGTTAAAGAAACCCATCTCGCGTACCTTTGACCAGATTAGGATAATGTACCTTTGACCGGAAAAAATTGTTTTCTCGGTTATTTGCAAACTTTAAGAGGCCAAATTTGAGAAATTTATTATCGAGTTTACAAGGCGGCTGTGCTTTATTGCTCTTGAATGCAAAATTGTTTCTAGTATTACGGAAATGAAATAGTTTGCTTGAATTGCAATGCAATTCACTATTTATTCTTCGACCACTACTTCACTTGGAATAATCAATTTTGTTGATTTTGTTACTAGGACAGCTGTATCAATATCATAAATAAGTTTATTTTAATACTTAATTTCTGCACAGCTGTGCAGTTATTATTCAAATTTAATTTTATCTTTTTATTTTATTTTTATGTATGATGTTTAATTACATTATTTGCGAATTATTAGGGGCTTAACGATAGGACAACCATATGTCTTGACCCTTTTTGTCCCAGCTATTTGTATATTTTACAAATATGAAAATTGCAATTTTTTAATAACAAAAAAAATTACAGTAAAAAAAATGTAGTGGTATAACACAGGGCTTAATTTAACGGTCGGACATCGAACATTGTCCGGCTAAAACCTCAAATTGCCCGATCAATTTACAAAATAATTGGACATTTTGACCGATAGAAATTAAAATTCTATAAAATAAATACTTTATTAAATTTATAAAAACTAAAAATAAAAGAAATAAAAAATAAATATAAAAAATAATACTCAAAAAAATCAAAGTTAAATTTACTTTTTGTTACGTTTTTAATTGCGTTTATCTTGTGAAACGTTTTATTAAAGTTACGCAAAACGCTTTTACAACTTACTTCTATTGATTGTTTAATAAATAAACAAATTTTATTTAAACTATTGAAAAAAAAAAAAAAATAATATTTTAAAGTTGTTTAAACATTTTTTTTCAAAAAATTGCAAAAAAAAAAAAATGCAAAAAAAAACAACGTCGTTATTTAAAAAATTGTAATTTTTAATCATTTCATTCTTTGATTTAAAGTCAAGTTTTTAAAAAAAATAAACTTTTAAACAATTCTTTTTAAAAATAGAAACAAAAAAAAAAGCCAATTAAATCTCGGGAAGATTTAATTTAACTTATTCATAATTTAAAGTAACTTGAAAATAATAATCTTTTAATAAAAAATTTTTAGAAAGACTTTCTATAATAAATTTAAATGTTTGAAACTATTTTAAAACTAGTTTCAAACATTTAAATTTATTGCTATCTTTAAAATAGTTTCAAACGTTTAAATTTAGCATAAAAATACATACATAATAAAAAAAAATTAAATATAACATTTAATTTACACTTAATGCGTTTTCTTTTAAATTATAATTTTTTATTTTATTTAAAGTTTTTAAGTTTTGATTTTGTTTAAAGTTTTTAAAAGTTTTTATTTTATGCGATGGCGTAAAATAAAAACTTTTAAAAAGATCAACGATTAAAAGTTAATTGTAAAGTAACGTTTTTTTTGTTGTTGCATTTAATAGTTAAAACATAAAAACAGCCGTTGTCAAGTTGTAAAGAATAAAAAAATGAGCGTTGTCAGTGACAGCGTAAAAATTTAAATCTAAAAAACATACAATATTAAATTGAAACTATTTTATTAAAAAAAAAAAAAAAAGTGTGCGATAAAATATTTAAAATGGTCATCACGTATTAACATATAATTACAACTACAGCTCATCTGAAAAAATATTAGCAGAGTTTAACAAAAAAAAATACATCTATATTAAAGGAAACTATGATGGAATTAATAAATACTTTAATAGTACTGACTGGTCAAGAATAATTTGAACGCTAATGAGAGTTACGAAAAATGGTTAGAACATTATAAAATCATTTGTAATGTAAATATACCGTTAACTAAATCAAATAAAAAGAAAAGAACCTTGGTTAAAAGCACCTAAAGCACCTTGGTTTAAAAAAAGTCTATCGGAAATGATTAAGGCAAAAAAAGTTTTATGGATAAAATGTAGAAATGCAAAATTTAGAGATCAAGAACTTGAGCGAAATATAAAAGTATAAAAAACACAACGAAAAAGGCTATTAAAAATAAAATTGTTAAATTTGAGCACACAATAGCGAAAAATGCTAAGAAGAATACCAAAATAGTTTACCAAGATATAAATAATAAAACTCAAACTAAAGATTATATTCGAGCTATTGAGAATAACAATGGAATAGTTACGACCAACCTTTCTGAGATTGCTAACGAACTAAACAATTTTTTCAGTTCAGTTTTTACTATTGAAGATAAAAACCTCCCACAGTTTCCAAAACAGTGCG